TGAATTGTTTTTATCTTATTTTACCAATAAGGTGGTGTCGATCAGAGCCTCTATTACCCCCGTGGCCTCTTACTCAGAGGTTCCTCACCAGCAACAACAGAGTTTTAACCAGTTTTATCCCATCGACTTGTCTGAGCTTTTAAAAACAATATCACAAATGAGAGTGTCCTCCAGCCCACTTGATATAATACCTACAAAATTTTTACTAAAAGTAATAGATTCTGTTGGGCCCCATTTGATCTCTGTTTTCAACAGCTCCCTATCTATTGGTTGTGTCCCTGATTATTTTAAAACGGCTTGCGTGAACCCACTTTTAAAGAAACCTGGTTTAGATCCCTCCCTCCCACAAAATTTTAGACCAATTTCCAAACTGCCTTTTATTGCAAAGATTCTAGAAAGAATTGTGTCCAAACAGCTGCTCACTGTGCTGGAAAATAACAAAATATTTGAAAAGTTTCAGTCTGGTTTTAGGAAGTACCACAGCACTGAGACTGCCCTGCTTAAAGTCACCAATGACCTTTTAATGTCTGCTGATGAAGGTATGTGCTCAGTCCTTGTACTCCTGGACCTTAGCGCTGCTTTTGACACCATTGATCACAACATCATGTTAGACAGACTGAGGCACTGGGTGGGGATCTCTGGTACTGCTCTAGAATGGTTTCCATCCTACCTGTCAAATAGGAAGTTTTGCGTGTCTGTAAACAACTATGTCTCTTCATTCTGTCCAGTTAAATATGGTGTGCCTCAGGGGTCGGTCTTAGGACCCATTTTGTTTTCCTTGTATCTGCTTCCCCTTGGACATATTATCCATAAACATGGCATTTCTTTTCATATTTATGCTGATGACACACAAATATACTTGCCCGTCAGATCCACAGACCCTGGAATGCTGAGTTCACTTAACAACTGCCTTTGTGAAGTTAAAAAATGGATGTCGAATAATTTCCTCCAGCTGAACTCAGACAAAACAGAAATCCTGGTCATCGGATCCCAGCAGATGGCAAATCAAATACTGCCATCTGCTGGTTCCCTAGTAAATCACATTAAGCCTGTGGCAAAGAACCTTGGTGTTTGGTTTGATAGTAATTTAAATTTCGAGCAGCACACCACAAAGCTTGTTCAATCATGTTTTTATCAACTTAGAAATATAGCTAAAATTCGATCTATGTTAACTTTTAAGGACACCGAGACCATTTTACACGCCTTCATCTCATCACGCCTGGATTATTGCAACAGCCTTTTCACCTGTTTAACCCAAAAATCTATTGATCGACTCCAGACTGTCCAGAACTCAGCTGCCAGGCTTTTAACCAGAACAAAGAAATATGACCACATTACTCCTATTTTAGCTTCATTACACTGGCTCCCAGTATGTTTTAGAATTGACTTTAAAATTCTATTGATCACTTTTAAAGCTCTTCATGGCCTCTCGCCTTGTTATATTTCTGACCTTTTAGTCCCATACGCACCAGCACGTACCTTGAGATCCTCGGGCAGAGGTCTGTTGTCTGTTCCAGAGTCTCGACTGAAAACTAAAGGGGACAGAGCGTTTGCTGTCAGGGCCCCGAGGCTCTGGAACAGCCTGCCCGAGGAAATCAGGTCGGCTGAGTCAGTGAACTCTTTTAAGTCCCTTCTTAAAACATACTTTTATAGGAGAGCTTTTCCCGATCTTATATGACTTTATTTTATCCCTTTTATTTTATTGTATTTTACTAATTTTATATTAAATTTTCATGCTCTTATCTTTTTTTGTATTATTCTTTACACTTGTTAAAGCACTTTGTAACTTGTTTTTGAAAAGTGCTCTACAAATAAGGATTATTATTATTATTATTTATTTGTGGCGGCCCACCACAATATCAACACTGACCGCCACATATTGATTTTCAATGTTTTTTTTTTTACTAGGCCTATTTAAAATGGTATTTGATTGCAGAGCACCATAGCTCATTCACATCTTCTCGCTCATCCCTCTCTTTCTCTCCCTCATGAACACCGCTGCACAAATCTGTCCAACACAATGCTGTCGGACTCCCAGTTTAAAAAAAGTTATTAGCAAGCATGTAAGGAGCCTAGCTAATAAGAAGAGCTAAGTTAACGTTAGAATACAGCTGGGTTGTCAAGGTTAGCACGCTGTTTATAGCTGGTGCCACAGTTACACTGTCATTCTGTGGGAAACACTGGGATCACTTAACAAATCTGAGGTAAAACATTCCAAACAATTATGATTAAGTAAATTTCAATTAAGTAATATTTTTCCTCCACAAAGTAAAGTGCTGATTTGTTCGTGATTCAAATTAATTAAATCAAACACTTATTAAACATGTGTTATATTGTTATTGAGGAAAATTATATTGCAATAATTATCATTATTGTTTTATTGCCCAGCCCTGCTGGTAATCCCTATTCACATGGGAGCTCACGGCTGCATGAAAGGCACCGAGCTTCTACCTGCTCCGTCTCCACTGACAGAGATTAGCAAAAGGCAAGAATGGGAACAGATGAGCGCCACATAGAGCACACCAATACGCAAGAAAAGTCCCAGGACGCCAAAGAGTAAAATGTAGAAGTAACTTACTGGTATCGGTGGCCCACTTCAAGCACTACCTATTATCAAAATTGACACCACTTATCTGTGAAGCCGTACTCCACAGGTGGATTACATTCCGACAAAAATGGCCTTGTTACATTTATTATTATTTTAATAAATACACACAGACTATTGCGTCGCTTTATATTAGCCTAACTACAGCTAGCATGTAAACAAAAAACGCGTCTGCACGTTGACTTTTTGAGTGAGACCTTAGTTAACCCACTAGAAACTTTCATGCCCTGTTCACGGCCTACAATAGCCAATGAGTGTCCACGTCGCCAGGAAGTGCCAGTCCCATTTCTTTCTGTATACACCGACACCAATTGTGCAGAGGAAGACTGGCGCTTCACACACACATAACACGTGACGGTTAAAAAAATGAAAGAGGTTTGTAAAATTTTTTATTTTCCACATATTTACACTATATATTGATAAATACAATTCCGCCTCGCGCCGGAATTCTGGCACAGCGCCGGAGAATTTTAAGCCCTGTAGGAAATACTACTAAACATAACTGAACTAGTGTGGACTGTGGGGTAATGAGGACAATTTCCCCAACAAGAAGTCATTTGATTCTATGCAGATTTGTTCTGTTTTTCCACAATCTTCGAGCTGGTCAAGGAGGTACCATACTTTTACACACCTCATCTAGAGTAAAAACAGGCTTTGTTTATTCATCTGGTGAAATGGTAGTGGTAGTGTAACTCTTCATGTTGACATGTCTCACCTCAACAGCTGTTGTGTGACCAGAAATTGGGTTCAGAGGTACAGTATATTTGACCTGGTAAAGGTAAAATTCACGCAGACAAACCCCCCCCCAAAAAACAAAAAAAACACAACTTTCAATAGCTTCTTACAAGACCATATTTTAAAATGGTACGTTTCACGTCATCTCTTTTCCTTGAAACACCCAAGAGGAAAGGAGCAAATGGGAAAATCACATGTTTAAAATCCTCATAAATACCCAAGTCAGTAGAAGGTAAACTCCATCATTCTCCAAACCGCAAAACCAGAACTGAACAAATAAACTTTTTAACCATCCACAGAGGGCACATGGTACGAATGGTGAACTGTCTCTCACATTGCAGAGAGTTAAAGAAATCACTGAACTACTTTAATTTGTGTTTGATTGTCGCATTGCTCGCATATGCAAGCAGTTTTCTCCAAAATCATGGAGCAAGTAGCCTGCATTCCAAAGTTTATGGAAGATGATTCCCTTTTTCCCCATATCTGCATAGGTCACATCACACTGCGCTAGACTGGCTCTAAACTTGTTTTCTCTAAGCTCTCAAAATTTGATTTATTGGTACCCACTTAAGGACAAACCGCTAACCTTTCCATTAAAATGCAGATGTTAGGTATTAGAAGCCACTGTAAATGAATTATGTCCTGTTTAATGGTTGTGTTTAAAGCACCAAGAAAAGATTGTAGGAAAGACTCTGATATGGCTTTATCAGAGATGTTTTATCATCCGGCATGCAAAAACTGGTCAGGGGTTAAAAAGGTGAGAAGGATACGCAAGCAGAGAAACGCAGAGACAGTGTAAGAGGGATCTGTTTTAAGCTAACATATTGTATAGATAACGTGTATTGTTGAAAGATACTGACATGCAAGGGCATCAAAGGCATTGGAAAGGGGTGGGGACAAAAGGGTTTTAGATTAGGGGTGTGAGGATACACTTAACTCACGAGACGTGACGATGCACAATATTGGGGTCAAGAGAACAAGATGTAACGATATTTTAACACTATTTTATGTACTTCATCAATGCTGAAATATATATGGGGAGGACCCCCCCCCCCAATATTTTCAGCATCAAACACTTAATTTTCGTCATTCTGGTGAATTTTCTGCACAAATTTCTGCCTTGCCTGCATCAATTTAGAAGTCATCAAAGAAGTGTGGTTAGAGAGCAAACCTCTATACATATACCATCTCACTCTTACCGTCTCCGATGGACCCTATTCACCTTTATTGATGAAATGTATTTGGAGACAGGAACAGAACATCAAATCAATGATATTTTAAATATATATGGCTTTGTTCCCCTTTTCTGTCAACATCTTCCCTCATCTCTGTTTAATTTGCAGGAGGGCAGTAAAATCAGCACACAATCACAAACAAAAATCAAAAGCTCCCCTGTGGGTCTTGCTCTTTGACGAGCTGGGTGAAGAACTATTTTCACAGCTGGAGATTAAAAACTGTATGTCTGGTAGATTTCTACTGCAACCACAGTCATGACCTCCTCCTGTGGGGTGAGGTACAGCTGGATAATCGTAATGACCTTCATTGCACTGTCATAATACTAGCAGTACCATTCTGTGTACCTTCAAAAGTGACATAGTGTATATACTTTCTCATCTAAAAGATGTTGATGTATCAAATAGTACAATGAAAACATTAAAAGGACAAGAACCATCTTTACTTTTTAATTACATTTTTTTCTGACATACTTTGATAAAGTAGATACTACAAATAGATACATATACTGTATTATTACAGATTAGCATAATGTATAACATTACTGTAGATTCTTGTGTACAACACAATAGACTGATAGTGTGTCTTTGTATTTTTTGACCAATGATCTGCACTGCTGATAGACATAAAGTCTATCAGCAAACTGTCAACAAAAATATAAAAAGTATAATAAAGAAAGCTGATGTAATTCTTTGGTGAAATCACTGCCCTGTCCATACAGATATGCATCCAGTGTTAAACAAGCCTCATATATTTTTTAGTAAACCTTTTTCGTTATTCAACAAATTGATTTTTTACAGCAGTCTATCTGCTGTCTTTTTCATTTGCTGTTAAAGGACAAAGCACCACGTCATGACAGCAACAACTTCTGACCAATGTCCAAAGGTAATTAAAATCCTCGTTGGAGCTTTTTTTTCTTTCAGTCTGCTACACAATCCTTCTCCTTCTTTGTGTGGTATGCGCTATGTGCTGAAATAGTATCCCTATAGCCAGCAGCATCTGGTCAGGGAAATCACTTTTAGTTTGACTACAGGCTGCCCCATTTGCTCCCATGAGAACCACCAATGAACTTCCAGACCCCTAGCTCCAAAATTACAACAACTTTCTAGCTCCAGGCTGGGTTTTCCAGTTTAAAAAAATCCCCTTCTTATGCTCTGCTTATTTTTTTTATCCACATTTGTCACTTTATTAATAATATTCCACAAGCCGTGATCCACATGTGAAAAAACATGTACTGTACCTCACAGACACAAGTGGCTGTGTGTGTGTTAATGTTTACCTCCGACTATGCCACTGTCCTCCCTCAGTCTTTTCTCTCACAGTACATGTACATATGTGGCTTTTGTGTCTGTACCCAGGTGGTTTTTGGCCAGGCACTTGTATGTGCCAGAGTCTGAGGCTGTGGGCCTCTGAATGATAAGTGTGCCCTGAGGGTGGAGCAGTTCGCTACCCATAGGCCGGCCCTGTTCTGCAGCTGACAGAATTGAATGATCGGGCAGCTCCCAGGTGATCTCTGGCTTGGGGATGCCAATGGCGGCACAGTTGAGCTGGATAGGTGTCCCGGTTACTGCCTTCACACTAGGAGGCGGCCCTGTTATGATCCGTGGAGGGTAGGCAATGATAATAACAGGGACAGTGAGCGATGCCTCCCCAGCATTGTTTCGGGCTCTGCAGATGTAGTTCCCTCTGTCGTGAAGAGTAGTATCCTGAATAACCAAAGTACCATTTTCTTGTAACTGGTAGCGCCCAAAGACTTGAGGGCGAGTAAGAGTGTGGCCACCAGGAATGGTCCAGTAGATTCGGGGTCTGGGACTTCCATCAGATAGACAGTGAAGGAAGAGAGGTTCCCCAGACACACTACGGATAATGCCCCTAGGCCTTGTCAGGATGTAAGGCTTCTGCCCAACATCCAAAATAATTAGCTTCTCAATGTAGCCCATTAAATTCCTAGCACCACAGCGGTACTTCCCGGCATCCTCTTTGTGAAGGTTGGAGATGACTAAAGTCCCATCGTTACCAAGGTGGTGGTGAGAGCCATGGTAGGGTTCACCAGTGAACCGTGATCCATTAGGCAAAGTCCAAATGATCTCCGGCATTGGGTGTCCATCAGCAGAGCAGTTCAGAACCGTGGTTCTCCCAATCCAAGACACAATACGTTCGTTGAAGGGGTTCTTGAAGATTGGTCTTCGGAGCATACTGGTCACCTCCAGATGCACCACCATTACTGCCTCGCCGCCATCATTCCTTGCCATGCAAATGAACTCTCCTGTATCAGTTGGCCGCACGTGACGGAACTCTAATGTCCCATTATAGTGAACATTAATCCTGCTGCCAAAGTATGGAGCTGTCAGAAATATGTTGTCAGGCATAATCCAAGTGACACTAGGAGCGGGATCGCCCTCTGCCTTGCAGTCTATAAATTTCCTAGAGAATTTAGCAGCTACATCTTTGATTACAGTCCTGTTCTGCCGGTAGCCATTGATCACTGGTGGATTGCCATCTATATCAAGCTTGTACACTTTTCTGTTTTCTCCACCAGGGTTGCGAGCCATACAAACATACTCCCCAGCATCGATAAGATTCACACCCCTGATATCCAGAGAGCCATTGACATGCATTAGGTAACGTTCATTAGATGCTGCAATTACATCGTTGGTGGGCAGCATCCACAGGATCTTGGGTTTGGGTTCCCCAGTTGCTTCACAGTCAAAGCGGATGTCCCCTCCAGGCATCACCTTGGCATAGGTCTGGCTGGGTGGACGTATCTTGGGGACAGCGGTCACCACGCTGATATGTACATGCATCTCATCCTTGCCGACTTGGTTTTCAGCATAGCAGGTGTAGTCCCCTTCCTCTGACATACCAACCTGGAGAAGCATGACACAGTAATGTAAATCTTTTGAAAAGGTTTTTATGTTTCATGGTTAGGGATGTGATTGCGTACCTGGTTTAGGTAGAGAGTTCCATTGTCAAAAAGTGTATAGCGCCGTGCTCGTCCTCCTCCAGTGCTGGCATCAGACTGAAGAGCGCTGTTAACCACTGTACCGTCTGGTAGACCCCAGGAGATCTCTGGCTTTGGTGCTCCTGAGGCTTTACAGTCGACCTTAAAGTCATTACCGTAGGGTACCTGCTTCTTTCCATAGAGCTTAGGCTCTATCTTGGCTGGCTTCATTGACACACTTACCCTCATGAGTTGGAGATCATCACCAATTTTGTTTCGTGCCACACAGAGATAGTCTCCAGCATCTTTATCACTCACAGTGCTAACAATGAGAGTACCATTATCCAGGACCTGAATTCTGCTGCCCATCCTATGGAAATACATGACAGAAAATAGGGTACACTCAATTACAATTGAGCAGCATTTACTATAGTGCAGGACAGGAACAAATGACACATATAATGTTAACATTGAATGAGTTACTGAACTTTGTAAAACCAGTGGGCGATGCTTTTTAGGAGCTATGCAAGGACTTATGGTAATATATCCACCGATGAGTTCATATTGACTTGTGCAGGGGGAAGCCAAGCTCTAGCAGGACTGGGTTGAGAGCCTGGATTGAAAGTGTATCTGACTGAGAGAGATTCAGGTATACCACCAGCTGCTACACGCACCCCTATCTGTTTGTGTGTCACCAACTTATCTTGAAAAATAATGGCCTGCTGGCATGAATTTTGCTGTGCACTTTAACAGGAAGAAGCAAATTGTTTTTATATTGTATATGTACTTTGAGAAAAACCTAATTTTAATTTAATTTAAAAAAATTGTGCTTTCACACATCCCAGTCGTCCATACTAACACTGAAGAATTTTATATTATTTCTTTAAAATTAAGGAAATGCATGAAAGAACTGATTGAGCCTATCACCGCCAGATAATTCTCAGGTAAAGCTCATAAGCACATGTTGACAGTGTTGTGTAATTACTCTCACTGTCAGAAGGCTGAGACAAGAGTTCTGCATTGCAGGTTTAAAAAAAAGGGACATGAAAAAAACAAAGGAAAAATACTAATGAGAACATTGTGGTTGCAAAGAAAATGTTCAAATGGATAAAAATGAGCACTAACAGCAGAAAACTAAATTACCTACTCATACCAAGCAAACATAATTCACTAGGGAGCTTGAATAGACTAAAGCTTTTATGAACTGAACAGTATAAAAGTAAGAATGGAAAAACATTAGCACTGCACTGTCATGTGAAAATAACAAGCTTTCTGCTTCTTTTCCTTGGTGATCAAAACATGACCTGTGCTGCCAATACTATTTATTTTTACTTTTTCTTTTACAAAATATTTCCACTTTCAGCTGTCTTTTGGAGAAAACTGAATATTCAGTACTTATATAGAATATATCAGAATAAATATAGCTTGTTTTGTCACTGCAGTACATCTCAGGTCTACAAAATTATTGTGCACAAACACATCATATCTCAACATAATGATATGCTTGAAAAACTCGAAAAATGTTTTGAAGTGAAATGTCTTACTATTTTGCTTGATCAAAATTAGTGATCTGGTGGATGCACACCAAAAGTGTGATGTCATGTTAATTATATATTTGAAAGGAGGAAGGCTAAAATTAGTGATACAATAAAATTACTTTAGCTTAGGGTGTGGTCATCCTTTTTTCAAATGACTATTTTACTCGAACATGTCCTATTCATGCTTATCAAACTAAACAGGCCATGTTTATAAAAATATAATATGTTTTTATTATGTGTAATCACGATTATAGCCAAAGGGTATTTAATTGTTCCGAGACCAAAATCCAAAATAAAGATGAGTTCTTTTTTTTCTCTCATCAAAGCTTTAATTGTATGTTCTGTATTTTTTCAGTTTCATTTACTTAGTATGAAGAAACTATCGTATTTGATTCCAAAATGTATGGACTGGGTAACCATCACATCAAAACACTGAATGGTTTATGGGGATAACCCAAATGGTCAATGCAGAAACCTTTGACCCACATTTTAAGATGGAAGCAGAAAAAAATTCACATAATACACAATAATCCCTTAACATGTTCCTTTTCTCAAGCTGTGCTGAAGGGTTCAGCTGTTGTGTGCCTGTTTGCAATTCAAGTTATATTTGTGTGCTCAGTGCATGAATGGAGACTTATTACTACATCCTAAAGTAAAGATGTGCATTCCTCTAAAAATAATAATGTTTCTTTTTACAAGTTCTTCACGGCCTTAAAACTGTTAAGAAATGGTTTATCTATTTTGTCTGTTTTAGCTTTTACTGATAAGTTCACAGTAAATGCAACCATGTATTCTTCTGTGCATCACTCCTACTGATTAAACATTTTTACCTGTGCCACTGGTCCACCACAGCTTTAGATGGAAGCCTCCAGATGATCCTGGGTTTAGGTTCTCCTGTAGCTAAACAGTTTAGTGTCAACTGGTCCCCAAAGTACAACTCTGTTATGCGCTGGGATGTCTCTAATATTTGAGGTGCAGATTCCTTCCTCTCTACTGTAAGAGTCACCACCCTTCTCTCTGAGCCAGTAGAGCTGGTTGCAATACATTCATATTTCCCACTGTCTGCGGGAGTCACGTTCTTGATGTTGAGTGTTCCATTCACATACACTGTTAATCGTGCGTTATTGGCAGGTCTGTTAGATCGTACCACTGACCCGTCATGGAGGACCCAGTGAATAGTAGGCTGAGGGCTGCCTTGGCCAGTGCAAGGTAGCCACATGTTTTGGCTTACAGCAGCTTTCACGTGCTGCCGTTTCTCCTCCACAATGCCTGGGGGAGCTGCCACCACCTGCAGTCGGACTGTAGCAGTATCAGCTCCAGCTGGGTTACTGGCAATGCATTTGTAATGACCTCTGTCATAAACAGACACCTGCTCAATGACCAAAGTCCCTTCAGCAGATACTGATGCCCTTCCTTTCTCTGTGTTTTGATCCCTGACCTGGGTTCGGTTAGCCAGGATCCAGGATATCATGGGTGTGGGCCGACCCTCTGCATTACATTTCATCTCCACAGTGTTTCCCGCATGAGACTTTATGTCACGCATTTTAGGCTCCAGGATGCGTGATGGGTAGGCCACCACAGAGAGGGTAACAAGGAGTTTATCTGATCCATGATCATTCTCAGCTAGACAGAGGTACTGGCCACGGTCCTTAATGTTGGCATTCTGGATCGACAGCGTGCCATTGCTCAATACCTCAAACTTGCCCATCCTCCTTTTAATAGTAATGGTGCTTCCTGAAGGAGAAAGAGAAAACATTCAATATAATTTTGCATCCAAAATAAAATACATTACCCAACATAATTTGTGTTCTTAAAACTCACTTCCTATCCTATTGTAATTTTTATTTACTTTATTACCATTTGTATTGTTTTTTTGTTCATGATGTTTTCTCATTGTTTTTGTTTTTATTATGTTATTAAAAATGCCATACAAACACACACAATAAACAACATAAGTTAATAATAAAACAGACAAGGAATATACATAATTGCTGACAATGTCACGACCAAATATAGTATGTCGGAAGCCCTTCATCAACTTAAACAATCAACAACATGGTGCTCTTGCAAATCATTCTTAGATATACAGCTACGCCTTAAGATTTTTTTTTTAAACTGGCTTTTAAAATACTTTTACACAACATCTGAACCTTTTCTAAACGTTTTGTTTTTCTGAAAGATAACAATAAATTAAACTGTTTCTGTACCTGTGCTTGAGGAGAAGCGTTTCCAGGTTATAGCTGGCTGAGGGTTTCCAACAGCCTCGCAAGGCAGGAAAGCATCTGAGTTGGATAACACGGTGAAGCTGGCTGCATTTCCCCCAACTATCTTAGGTTTGGTTGTCATAACCTTTGTAGTGGGTTCAAAGCCAGCAATATTGACACTTGTAGCTTCATTGCTAGTGACATGATTATAAACACTAAAGATGGTGTGTGTGTCTATGTTGTTGTATGGGGCAGGGGTGTTGCTGTATCCTTGCTCAGCTGTAAGGACGGTCATTGTGTCAAAGGTAAGGCGGTCATCTGCACTGTCTCTGGCACCACTGCTTTGTACAGTTGGTCTGATCCGTCTCATTGGTGGTCTACGAGTGGTGTGACCATTGTTCCTCTGTGTGGGTGGTCTGATGTTACTGTTGACTCTGGTCCGAGCTGTTGTATAAGGCCCTTTTGTGGTAGCTGGCATGAATGTGGTAGTAGGGGTGAATGTGGTTGAGGGGATCAACGGTGTCTTGGTTGTAGTATAGCCTGGTAAACTGCTAGATGTGCGCCAGTAAAATTCCTCATATAAGTCAGTCTCCCCTGTTGACGTTTGGTCAGTGGAAATGGCTATTGTGGTTCTGTCCTCTTTCCTTGATGGAGTGTACAGGGGCTTGTAGAATGAAACAGTACGTTGTGTTAGTGTGGTTGTCTCCATTGTAGTTTCCATAGTTGTTACCGCTGTAGTTAAAGCCTCAGTTGTCGTAGCAGAGTGTAATTTAATGATTGCAGGTTTCCTGAAGGGTCTTCTGCCCCTGAATGGCCTTCTTCTCCGTCCTTGCTTTCCTCTTCTCCCACCAGGTTTCTGTCTCATTTCATACCAATTATCAGGTAGTCCCCCAGACCCAGATGATATGGCTTCATCAGGATTTTCTCTTGAAGGCGGTTTGACAGTAGGTGGGGACGGTAGAGTCTGTGATTCTGGTGGTGTTTCAGCAGTAGTGGCAGACTTGGAGTAATAGGATGGGTTGGTAATAGTTAGATGGTAAAAGGTGGGTCCCAAAGTTGTGAACTCAAAATCTGCAGAGGACAAATCTCCATCGTCATCAACTAATGAGCCCTCTTTGTTCTCTGTGTGTCTGGATGGAGACAGAGTCTCAGGTTCAGTCAGTGAGTTTGCGGTGGTGGTGGGCACAGCAGCAGGAGTTGTGGTTAGGGTCACTGTTGTAGTTTCAGCTGTAGTTGAAGTTTTGAGGGGGATGAATGGCTTCCTTAATCTGCCCAGTATCTTTTCTCTCTCTTTGCCTCCAAACAGCCTGTTCCATGGAATTCTTCCACGAATAACCTTAGAGGGCGTAGTAGTAGTAGTAGTAGTAGTAGTAGTGGCCATGGTGGAAACTGATGGTTCTTTATTTGTGGTGAAATATGGATGTACTGTAGGGTCAAACTCAGGGGCATCAGCAGAGGTTATGTAGCCACTGGAAACATCTGGCCTAGACTCGGTATGGGTGAAGGGATCACTTGAAGTAATGTAATAGGTTGCATTAGAAGGTGCATCACTGGATGTCTTTTTTTTGTCCTCATCACAGTCACAGTCTGTGGGGAAAAAAAGGAAAAGGAAACAGATACACAGAATATTAGCTAAAGAAACACACACTGAACAATGAACCAAACATATAAAGACAGCTCTTTTTGCTTACAAAACAAGCTTACCTGTGGTCAGTTTGATTCTGTATGGCACTGTGGCATTCCCTTCTTTCTTCATGGAGGGCTGTTTAAGTTTATTGATGAAGGACTGTATGTCAGTGATCCTGTTTGGTTTAATGATCCTCCTGCGGCCTTGAAAGGTCCTCCTGCGACCCCCTCCTCTGCTATTCTTGTGTGGGATGATATGGATCTGCTGCCTTGAGATGATGGTGGATCCTACAGGCAGGCGCGGGGATTTGATTGTTTGGGTGGTGTGGACGGTTATCTCATCTCGCTGTCTCTCTGTTGTGGTGACTGCTGTGAATATTGTCTGGCTTTCTGGGTCTGTGGATGTGTGAACAACTACCTCCACTGGGCCTGGGCCATCCCTCATCGGTGTGACAGTAGGGTCTGTGGTAAAAGAGAGTTCCGCCCCAGTGAACGTCTCTGGCTCTGCCGGTTGTTCCCCTGAGAACTGGAGCTGAGTTTCTTGTGAAGTGTCTGTCACGGTAAGATGGAGAGTGACTGGGCGCCTGTCTGAGCCTCGCTTGGTAGTCTCATCAAAACTTGAAAGGCCTGTGTTGTATGACATCGTGTTATATGGTGTAACTGCATCATCTTGACTTTCACTCTCTTCTGTTGGAATGTGTGTGAATGCGTACTTGACTGGTGTAGAATCTGACTGCATATATGACTCTGTTGTTGCTGTGTTTGTCACTTGATTTGAATCAAAGTGATTTCTGACTGCAGATTCCATGCCAACAGTTTGCTGTGATGCTGTTGCTACATCACTACCCTGACCTGTCTGAGATGATGTTATAGCTTCAGGCTGCTTGTTTCCTTGCCCAAATTTTATAGCTTTTGTTGGATTATCTGTAGTTGGTTTGACTATCCTTGGCACAATTATGAGATGATCTTCATTATGATCCTCACCAGAGCCAGTTTCACCATCACCAGAAAGACCAGTGTTTGAGTCTGAGTCATAATTTCCCCTCTCTTTCTCTGTGTCAGTTTTTATTTTTGATCCATCTTGAGCCTTTTTCATAAATTCGGCAAATTTCTGTGGGTCCACTTTCCTGGAAGCTTTATCAAAGACCCTACCACTCCAGATGCGTCTGTTGCTGACTGACCCCCTCCTTCTCTGTTCCAGTCTTCTTTTACCACCTCCTCTAGTCTGTGACCTGAGTCTGGGGTAGGGTCGATCTGAGGTGATGGTTCTGGATTCTTGTCTAGTTTTGTCAGAGGGATTGGAAGAAGGGATCTCATTGAGGGTGACTGTGTTTTCAGTCAAGCTAGGATCAACCTTGTCCTCCATTTCCACCCCTGACCCCTCACTGTCCAAAATTGTTACTGTCTCAGACCTTTCTTCAGTCACGGTCACCTGGGACACGAGCAGGTCAAATCCCAGGGGACTAGCAACCAAACACCTATAAAATCCTCTGTCCCTCGCTGTGAGACCCTGAATCAGCAAGGTTCCATTCTCATAAACTTTCCTGTTCCCATGAGACTTGTCCAGAATTGAGTGGTCAGGGAGTATCCACTGGACCGACGCCTCAGGAGATGACGAGCTACAGTCAAAAACCAGATTTTCCCCCAGTGGCCTTGAGAGTTGGACGCCGTTGACCTCAGCTTCTTCCACATCAGGGGACAGAACTGTCACTCGAAAGATGAGGATATCTGCATCCAGGTAGTTTGTGGCAATGCACCGGTAGAGACCTGTGTCGGAGGCATCTGCACCCCGTAGAGTGAGCTTCCCATCAGCAGTGATTATGATCCTCCTGTCCTCACTGGAGTAAGGAGCTCTGACCTTACTTCCATCAGGTAAAATCCACTCCAGCAAAGGCTTTGGCTCACCCCGTATTTGACAGCTCAACTGTGCCACACCACCTATGTTAAAAATAAAACAAATATTTTATTACAGTAATTATTGCTTTCATATAAACATTTAAGTCATTTAGTCTTTTCAGTTCTGAAATGTCTTTACAACACTGTTTTGGCAATTGAAATGCTCCATGGATTTTTATCACGCAACATGCATTGGTTAATAGTTTAATTATATGTAGATTAAAGTGAAGGTCATATCAGCTATCAGCAAGTTCCCACCTGTAAGTACAGTGTGCTCAGTCTTGGTCTGATTATCTTGCTTGATCATTGTCCAGGAATAGCGGTCCCTCTTGGGTGATGTGTTTTCCACGCGTAGGTTGACCACCGACTGGTACTTAATGTGCAGAGTAGAGAAAGTGGTAGTGGTTCGGTCAAGTTGGAAGCTCACCTCTCCCTGCATCAACCACGCAGGGGAGGCTTTAATTTTAGCCTCTATGTTTGTGTGAATTCCTTCTTCTCCTGCCTTCGTTTTCATCTGACTGTACCTGTACACCATTTCTGGGCTTCTGGCCAGCATTAAGCCTCTCTCCAGTCTCATGGGAGAGTCACTGTAGGTGGCCAAGATCTGCCACAGCTGCTGTATGTGTTCATGGTCAATGTTACACACCAAATATGTAGTTATGACAGTGGTCAGCATGGTGACATTGTTACCCTCTTCCTCCTCTAAGGTTTGTGTCAGGTTCTCGAAAGCAGAGGGCCTCTGGACCGTGCAAAATAGACTGGCATCACTGTGAAACTGGTCAGTCAGGTTCATTTGTATGGAGCCTAATGGGGCAATGAAGTCCTTGGGGGAAACTGGCGTAAAGTCCCCCTCATCCAGGCTGATGTTTTTCTGCTTTAGGTGGGGATGGATCCAGGGTTTGCTACAAGTAAAGGCATCACTGGGGAGAAGGGATAAAGGTTCGCTGTGGTAAGGGGCAGGATTTTCACAAACAGGACACAGCTGGCCTCCCGGATATCTCTTGTCTCGCTTGCATTTCAGCACCCCTGGAAATATTTGAATCAATAGGTGTAGTCTTTAGCTGGTTGCATGTAAGAAAAGAACATTTACAGTTTCCACATAATAGGTCAGCCAAACCAAAACTCAAAAATCAGTAAAACTTGTGAACCAGAAAAGACATTCATCACCATACAGAAATGTAATTTATGAGTTGACTTTTACATTAGCCAAATCATGAATAGAAGGTATAACTTTTGTTCTTCTGTGTCTTTAGTGTTTTCTATAGCCCACATGATGAGAAGAAGATATGATCGCTGCCTCCAGTGATGTCAGTGCAAAGGTTTATATTCCCTTGGAAATGTCTTTCTTGCTTTGGATACAATCCCATGGACTATTACTTTGCAGGAAAACATACCACTTTAAACTCAGAGTAGAATAACTTTTTAAAGTACTAATGCAGTTAGAAACTTTACCAGATGTGTCTTACCAAAGCTGTTAGGAAATGTGGATTCACTAATGTTTAAATCTATTTTTTTTTGGATCTGTGCAAGGGATAAGAAGGAAGGGGTTCTTTTCCCTTGTAAACATGTTACAACCTTACACTTCTCTAAATGCTTTCAGACTGTTCCAAACACGCACTCCTCACCTGTGTTCCTCTGTGCCCACACTGAGAACCACTTCATACGGCAATCGCATGTCCATGGGTTGCCATGGAGGAAGACGTTCTCTAACCAGCTGCAGCCTGAGAAAATATCTGCAGGCAGAGTGGTGAGGAGGTTGTCTGACAGGTGGATATTTCTGACTGAAGACACCTTGAACACCTGGCTGTGTCTCAGTGTGATGAATGTGTCTGGGTGCAGCTGCTGGAGGTGGTTACCCTCCAGATGGACCAACTGTAGGTTGGTTAGGCCATAGAAAGCCTCTGGGCTGATAAACTCAATGTGATTACGGTCCATGTGGAGTCTCAGCAGACTGTCCAGGCCTTTGAATGTCTCTTTGTTGATTTCCTTTACTTTATTAAAGGACATCTTCAGGACCTATAAGAATTCAAAAGTTGGAGATGATGTCAAAAGAATGTCTTGTAAAAATAATTTCTACTTACTTTTACTGATGCATATTTGTTGAATTTTGTTTTATCATAATTGTTTTGAATGTTTTACCTCACATTTGTTAAATGATCTACTGTTTGGCAAGCGTTTGTCATGTTTTGACCATAAAGAGTAGTTTAAAACCACAGTTAACCGTCTGGTTTCTTCAACTTTCACTCAGGAGCAAAAATCAGCCTTTAAACTTGAAAGAAATAATGATTTGACATTTATCGTGATAATTATCACTATCCAATGACATGAAATTTTTTATCGTGATAACATTTTTGGCCATATCACCCCGCCCTAGTATGTCTTAAGACTATTTTGTTAACACACAACAGCACATTATTGGGAGTTACCATGAAATTCTGTCAATTTAGTAGTATAATTTTAAAACAGTGTATTTAGTCTGGAAAAGTGCAAGCAATCAGTTATTGGAGAGCATCCTTTATTTGAAATGAATAAAGTTAAATATAATGAAATCCACTATAAACGCTACACTATAATGCTCCCTTTGTGAAGCTTGTGGTGTTTAATTTTGTTAGCACTGTGCTATTGTGTTGTTGTTGTTGGTACGTTTTCCACCTGTTATAAATGCAATTACTTGAACATCTAAAAGCAGTGGAAGTAAACAGCAGATATCAACACCAAAAACCTATCTAATGTAGGGATGAAACTACAACATTGAACATTCTTGATATTTGTGTGTCATCGTTTACTAGGGTTGGGCGATGTCTACATTGAAACATCGGGATAGACGATGGTATCGGGGGCGCACGCATATGAAAAAAATTTTTTGCGGGGGGCAGGGTTTTACAATCACAATGTCTGCTCAACCATCGACCATCTGCCAGCCACCGCCGATGGACGTTGGCCTCGTCTATTGGCCCAACCAGGGTTCGAGTTATGTGGGAAGCAGAGGGAGCTCAGCTTCCATAAGGATGGTCCCATGGAAGAAGTAAAATCATACATCTGTGGGGGTCAATAATTCATTTATCAACAACCATTATTTTGAATCACAAATAATGTATTTTTCATTGTTATTAATACTATTATTTACATTAAAAAGACTTAAATGAGCTGCACCACGCATGACTGACAGTATGGATGCACTTCTCCACCATCAGCCACTATGGTGCACACAGTTGACAGGTTGAGGCCGTGACCCGCAAACATGTTCAACTAGAATTAGACTCTGTATTGACTGCTGCTTATTTTTTAGTATTAGTATTATTGGCTTTTTGATGCATCCTCCAATTAGTACAGCGCTTGCTACTGTGTGCCGGCGGCCCGCAGTGCCTAAAATAATAAAAAATTTTGCCTTGGAATTGTGCCTCTCCTTGAGCAATAGTCTTTAATGAAATTTTTCACACTATTGAAACTTAAACTTTGTTGCAATCGCAGACATCTGGGGCAAGTAGTGGACTGCTGCATGTGTGTTTGTGCGTTTGTGTGTGAGTGAGAGAGGGAAACGTTGAATCACGTAATAAGCACTGATCTCTCTCTCTCTCTGCCGGTAACGTTAGTTAGTATATTAGAGACCCCAACAAAGCTCAGATTATAACTCGAACCCTGGTCCCAACCCTATCATGTACAAGTATTGAACTAAACCATGGCATGATTGTCACACTACTATATACTTTTGATATTCCAGTGCAGTGCATTTATTGTCCAATATTAAAGACAGGTGTGTAATCTGTTCACAAGAGATTGACACATGATTTCACCTGTAAGTTCTTGAGGTCTCGGAAGGCTCTGTCTTCAATACTGTGGATAGTGTTGCTATGCAGCATCAAGAGCTCCAAATTCTCAAGTCCTGAAAGATCATTTTCTCTCAAGACAGTAATACTGTTGTACCTAAAAGCAGAGAAATGAAAAAGAGATTTCAAATTATCAGCTAAAATGTACCACACATAGTAGTATTTTATGGAAGTTAATGAACGATGAAAATGGTCTCATTTAAGGCCTACAAAAGTTTTTTCAATTACATAGTGGGCTATGCTGGTCAAGGGTGTAGAATTTAGCAGGGACAGTCTAGTGAGTGCATTTGGTACAAAAATAGTTAACAATAGAAGTTTAGTTAGTAGAAGAAGGAGGAGAACAGGCAAATGTCACAGGAGGAGAACAGGCAGACAACACAGGAGGAGACCAGGCAGACAACACAGGAGGAGAACAGGCAAATAACACAAGAGGAGAACAGGCAAACAACACTGGAGAAGAACAGGCAGAGAACACAGGAGGAGAACAGGCAGACAACACAGGAGAAGAACAGGCAAACAACACTGGAGGAGAACAGGCAAACAACACTGGAGGAGAACAGGCAAACAACACTGGAGAAGAACAGGCAGAGTACACAGGAGGAGAACAGGCAGACAACACAGGAGGAGACCAGGCAAACAATACAGGAGGAGAACAGACAGACAACACAGGAGGAGAACAGATAGACAACACAAGAGGAGACCAGGCAGACAATAGAGTTGGAGACCAGGCAGACAACACTGGAGAAGAACAGGCAGAGTACACAAGAGGAGACCAGGCAGACAACACAGGAGGTGAACAGACAGACAACACAGGAGGAGAACAGATAGACAACACAAGAGGAGACCAGGCAGACAATAGAGTTGGAGACCAGGCAGACAACACTGGAGAAGAACAGGCAGAGTACACAAGAGGAGACCAGGCAGACAACACAGGAGGTGAACAGACAGACAACACAGGAGGAGACCAGGCAAACAATACAGGAGGAGAACAGACAGACAACACAGGAGGAGACCAGGCAAACAATACAGGAGGAGAACAGACAGACAACACAGGAGGAGACCAGGCAGACAATAGAGGAGGAGACCAGGCAGACAATAGAGGAGGAGACCAGGCAGACAACACAGGATGAGAACAGACAGACAACACAGGAGGAGACCAGGCAGACAATAGAGGAGGAGACCAGGCAGACAACACAGGAGGTGAACAGACAGACAACACATGAGGAGACCAGGCAAACAATACAGGAGGAGAACAGACAGACAACACAGGAGGAGACCAGGCAGACAATAGAGGAGGAGACCAGGCAGACAACACAGGATGAGAACAGACAGACAACACAAGAGGAGACCAGGCAGACAACAGAGGAGGAGACCAGGCAGACAATAGAGGAGGAGACCAGGCAGACAACACAGGAGGAGGACAGACAGACAACACAGGAGGAGACCCGGCAGACAACACAGGAGGAGACCAGGCAAACAATACAGGAGGAGAACAGACAGACAACACAGGAGGAGAACAGATAGACAACACAAGAGGAGACCAGGCAGACAATAGAGTTGGAGACCAGGCAGACAACACTGGAGAAGAACAGGCAGAGTACACAAGAGGAGACCAGGCAGACAACACAGGAGGTGAACAGACAGACAACACAGGAGGAGAACAGGCAGACAACACAAGAGGAGACCAGGCAGACAATAGAGTTGGAGACCAGGCAGACAACACTGGAGAAGAACAGGCAGAGTACACAAGAGGAGACCAGGCAGACAACACAGGAGGTGAACAGACAGACAACACAGGAGGAGACCAGGCAAACAATACAGGAGGAGAACAGACAGACAACACAGGAGGAGACCAGGCAAACAATACAGGAGGAGAACAGACAGACAACACAGGAGGAGACCAGGCAGACAATAGAGGAGGAGACCAGGCAGACAATAGAGGAGGAGACCAGGCAGACAACACAGGATGAGAACAGACAGACAACACAGGAGGAGACCAGGCAGACAATAGAGGAGGAGACCAGGCAGACAACACAGGAGGTGAACAGACAGACAACACATGAGGAGACCAGGCAAACAATACAGGAGGAGAACAGACAGACAACACAGGAGGAGACCAGGCAGACAATAGAGGAGGAGACCAGGCAGACAACACAGGATGAGAACAGACAGACAACACAAGAGGAGACCAGGCAGACAATAGAGGAGGAGACCAGGCAGACAACACAGGAGGTGAACAGACAGACAACACATGAGGAGACCAGGCAAACAATACAGGAGGTGAACAGACAGACAACACATGAGGAGACCAGGCAAACAACACAGGAGGAGAACAGACAGACAACACAGGAGGAGACCAGGCAGACAATAGAGTTGGAGACCAGGCAGACAACACTGGAGAAGAACAGGCAGAGTACACAAGAGGAGACCAGGCAGACAATACAGGAGGTGAACAGACAGACAACACAGGAGGAGAACAGACAGACAACACAAGAGGAGACCAGGCAGACAATAGAGTTGGAGACCAGGCAGACAACACTGGAGAAGAACAGGCAGAGTACACAAGAGGAGACCAGGCAGACAACACAGGAGGTGAACAGACAGACAACACAGGAGGAGACCAGGCAAACAATACAGGAGGAGAACAGACAGACAACACAGGAGGAGACCAGGCAAACAATACAGGAGGAGAACAGACAGACAACACAGGAGGAGACCAGGCAGACAATAGAGGAGGAGACCAGGCAGACAATAGAGGAGGAGACCAGGCAGACAACACAGGATGAGAACAGACAGACAACACAGGAGGAGACCAGGCAGACAATAGAGGAGGAGACCAGGCAGACAACACAGGAGGTGAACAGACAGACAACACATGAGGAGACCAGGCAAACAATACAGGAGGAGAACAGACAGACAACACAGGAGGAGACCAGGCAGACAATAGAGGAGGAGACCAGGCAGACAACACAGGATGAGAACAGACAGACAACACAAGAGGAGACCAGGCAGACAATAGAGGAGGAGACCAGGCAGACAATAGAGGAGGAGACCAGGCAGACAACACAGGAGGAGGACAGACAGACAACACAGGAGGAGACCCGGCAGACAACACAGGAGGAGACCAGGCAGACAACACAGGACGAGAACAGACAGACCCCTCCACAATTAGCACCCTCCACCTGCCAAATATGGGTTTTTATGGCAGTGGTGGGTAAAATCATCAGGCCATCCGCCACTTTGGTGGACAGGGAAAATTCACAACAGAAAGATGTCATAAATGCTATGTAGTAAGGTTAGCATATTGTGGCAATCAGCATCACACACAACACACACACACACACACACCAGTCAGCTCAGGGAATATCTATGGCAGCATTTCAAACCAAACTCACCACTGGAAGAGGCCCAGTCTGTCCTGAGTGACAGCCAGTGTACCGCTTGCCAGCAGCCCCGACTGGACTACGGGAAATAACTCCGGTGCTGTCAGAGAATCACTAAGCTTGTCCACGTATACTTACTTTTAATTTCGTAGGCCAAACTTTTGTATTGAAAGTGAGTATTTCTTTGTTCGCTTGCTGGGATCCAAAAGAGGAGGTTTTTGTTGAGATGTGGACTCTTGAACAGAGATAAGGACTGATTTGCTGGTAGCTAAACCAGTGGGTTTTCTATTGAGTACTGACTGTATAAAACACTGTGGTGAACATTGTGTTTCTTGTCATCTGTAGGTACCTTTAAAATACCTGATTAAAGTGGAGTTATTGTCATGTACTGAAATACACGGTTGATTTTGTGTAAATATACTGAACATAGAATGACAACATTATTTAGATTAAATAATGCCTAAATGAGCCGAATGTTATTGCTCAATTTAACACATACATTTCAAAAGTGAGTGATAAAACTTGTCAGTGGCAGACAAAAAGAAAAGTGTAAAAAGTTCATTTCAGACAACATAGAAGAAGAATATGTTCTGTTCTGGTCTGACCACACCTTAAGAAGACATTTTCAGGCACAATCATATTACACGTTTAAAGTTAGTGGCAATCTGAGGAGCAATGCAACAAATGAACGGCACACTTCCTTTACCATCATCAGGCAAGTTCTATTTAAGGGCTGGGGCAAACAACACCAACAGCGGGACTTTAGCTCTTCCTGTGCGATTGGAAGTCAACCAGGGGCCGAATATGCAGCATCACTTTTCAGAAGCTGAGGATCCAGAACTGAGGAGCTGGTTGGTAACTGTTAGTTGCTGTAAAATGTGTATTATAGCTAAATGTTTGCTAGTTACGTAACGTAAGGTATAGTTGTCCCTGACTAACCCCTTTTAGCCTAAGCTAACATTAGCTTGTTAATCTTCCCCAAATGGCAAATTTAAGCTATGCTAACGTTACCCTTACTGTATGTCCAATAAACAAAAATTACTTTACATTTACATATTTATTTATTCATTTTCTTTTACTACCATTGATGGTGTCTAGTGTAGGTAGCGTTAGGCAATAAGTTAGACAACATTAGTTTCTTTGTAATGTTGTTCATGTTTATAAAATGAATCTTCCCCAAGAGTATGCATTCTCAAATCTGCAAAAAGCGGGAGTGAAAGAAAGCGGAAGCTCACCCGAGGTTAATTCTTTCCACAGATGGCTGGATGTGGTCAGGTATTGCGGTTAGGTATCTGAAGGTGCAGTGCACTTCAGTTGGAACATAGCAGGCGCATGATTTGGGGCAATCACCGCTCGTCGGGAGCACAGCGGCCAAGAACAGCAGAGCCCTCAGCAGCCACCTCCGCTCGTATGAAGCGCTGCACGCACAAACACTCATTGTGCACCGGGATGGGGCTTTAGCTGCACGGACAAGGGGGAGGGGGGGGCAAGACTTTAACCTGAAGCATTAATAATGAAACCCACCTGGGGAGAGAGGCACAGTGTGTTGAAAAATTACTCCAAATAGGAATACCAATAATATAACTTATATCAATATTACTTGTATTTTCTGCCTATTTCATTATTATTTAAAGGCATTAAAGAGTAAAATATTTTTGATAAGGGCACACATATTTAGAATGGTAATAAAGTCAAACATAGAATAATGATACATGCCAATACATAGGCTATGCAAAGATGATAAATATTCTGTCATAATAACTAGCCCAGAAAGAAAAACAAAATCTGAATTATCTGCTCTTTCTCTCACCGCACTTTAGCAGCTGTAGAAAACGGAACTGCTGCACTTGTAGGAATGTAAAAATTCCGATGAAAGAGTAATAGGTCCAGTTTCAGTAGTTCTCCAGTTTGACTCCTTAGATGAGTCCACTGTGTCCGAGGCGCAGAGGACGGGAGTCATCTCTGTTTGAGTGCCTGCTGCTGAACTGCACACACCCCGCCCCCCTGCGATCTGCTGTAATGTAATCCTAGAGTAACTGCAACTATGACAAACTAGGGAAGTGGTCTGCGGGAAATACCACGCATCTGACACAGCCATCAAAAACACATAAACCCTCCTCAACTCAATTGCTTGGGGACAAGAGTAGAATTATTTATTTCTGCCAAGACAATAATATGTGATTAGGTTTTAGAAGTAGGTCATCAAATTCTTTTACACAGAAGCACAGCTTAGAATTAGAATTGAAATGCTTCCCTGATGTGATTTATTAGATACAGCTCTCAAAGAATTTTTTAGATTTTTGCTTGAGCTTTACTGTCTATTCTAAGACTAGATAGTACATGATTAAATTTGGACATGGTATGACATGTGCCCCAAGCTTGACACCACAGGCTCTTTGGTAAAATCTTGTGTCAGTTGAAAGCTATATTCAGTCATGATAGTTGACAAGGACAAATGTGTTACAGATTAGCTCAATAAACATTTTACTTTCTTCTTTCCCATCAAATGGGCCATTTGAATTCTCTGTTTTTATTTGTGTGTTTTTGCTAATGATAAAAACCACAAGCCAGCCATCATCCCAGGCATGTGGGGCTCAGTTTCTGTTTTGTCTTCGTCCAAAATACAATTCTTTTGACTGTTTTGTAGAATTCCTCTGTGCCCGCAAATTAGCATATTTAGAGATGTAGACTTTTCCTTCACATTCTGCTCTTAGTAGTACGCACAGTAACTGAATCAGATAGACATGTCTAAACTTTTCTGACTTTTAAATCCCAGACTTTCAAATTAAATTGTTTTAGGAATGGTGTATTCACAGCTGGAAATCTATAACATAGACTTTAAAGGTTTATCTTTTGATATAGCATCATAAAGCATCGCAAATCCCTTAATTTGTGTCTTTTGGCATTATCAGCGAGTGTACCTTTAAATTAGACCTGCGTTCTCCAGTGCTTTTAGATAAAATAATATACTTGCCTAGATAGCAAACTGATCTCCAGCTTAAAGTTTGCATGTCGTCTATTTGTGGGTGCCTCACTGCGATTGTTGCCATCAACATTTCTGAGTCATTGTAAGCAGTACCTATGGTACATCAAACCACAGCTGCCACAAGCTGTCTTTAAATCCTACAGTGTGTGTTTTGGCCCTCCAAATAATATATGTATGTTCACTCTTACAAAGTGGCTGGTTCACCACACGTGCACACTATTAAACATCAACAAACATACACACACTTTGGACACTGGACTAGGTTGAAGATACTCTAAGCCATTTCGTCTCTCATACGAGAGACTTCTTTAGCTCTGGCTGACTAGTAGGGAAACTCAGTTATTTAATCTCTGTGGGGTCACGTTCAACTGTTTGGATACTAATGCATGCACACAGAGACTCACAAACACACACACACACACACACACACACACACAGATAAACATTTGCAGAGGGAAGATTTGTGCCTGTGTCTTTAGTTACACAGAAGACTGTATAACCTTTCAGTCATATTTGAACCACAGAGGAATAAGCAAAGAGATCATACATTTTCATTTCAAATGTGTTAGTGGACTTGTAATTTGCATGGAATGCGGGTGTTTGGGGATTCCTTTCATCAGTTCATTCAGGTCACAGGCAAAGTTGGCATTGCTTGTGTTGTTTACTCGAACATCTGGACAACACACCAACACATGTGAACAACAACTCTTCACTTCCCCACTAACCACTGTATCAGATTTTTTTGCTTCCATATGTTGTGGCTAGATACCAAGAAGTATACTGGGTTTGCTATAGCTGTTGTTACTGTAAATGTAGTGTAATTCAATAGTCATAGTGCTGGTAAGACATGTGCTATACTTGATTTACTAACCGTGGCGAGGGATGATTATTAATGAAATATTTTCTGAGGCTTCTCCCAGGCTTGTTGACGGCCACACATGTGACTCACTTACCAACTTTCATAACAGTTGGTGTTAGTGATTTTCTGTTCTCCTCTTTCCACCATAATCTTGATACAAACAAGACTTAATGCCTCAGTTATGCAGGATTTCATGCCTATTTCTATACCCCCAAGTGGATTTCATCTGCTAACTTGACCTTTGTCTTGAGCCAAGCCATCATTGTAACTGAACAGTCCACCCTCTTCTTGGCAAGATGGCAAGTTGCAGTTACAAGAGGCTTACAAGGTGCAGGAGAAGAGATGAGGGGAAGAGCATGGCCTGTCCCAGGTTTTGTGTGTGTGCATAGCTTTGTGGCCAGTACAATATGATTTGTTTGTTTGTAATTCTGCTGATCACAAAGTTGATTCTAGTCCACCATTCTTTCTTGCCAAGCAAACTGTTTCCCTTTGGCTTTAATTTACTCCAGATGACTGAGTACTACAAGGGCAGCTGTATTATTTTTCAAGCTACAGTACTGAAAATGTTCTGGGGGTAATACTGGGATTCCTGGTGGTTTTTAAATGGCTTTGATTCTGCTGCATGTTGCTTGACTTAAGGAAAGTCCTTATGTTTGCATACACAGTATATTCCCTAACTGACTGGCTGACAGCGGGGAATGATAAACTGATATTGCTCTCCTCTTCTCTCCACTCTCAGTGTGGGCTGAAGGGTGTGTGAAGGAACAGGTCAGCTGTTAAAAGTCACAGCTAGCTGGTAGGCTCTGAGGAATCTGTAGACACATACAGCATTGGCCTCAGCTCCTCTCACTCACTGCTCGGTAATGACTGGGGGCCCACTTCTGTGGGAGGAGAATGACAGGAATAATGTGGTTTGGAAAAAATATCGCCTTACATTAGACACTTTCGACATCCTTGATATGTTTGTGGATTTTTTTCTTATTAATTCAGCACATTTTATGTTCTTCTGTTTATGTTCTGTTTCTTGTGTTACAGTAATATCCTTCACATTTCTAAATGTTTATGATTTGACACATTTTACAGGTGTTTGTAATTTACAGTAGAAACAAATTTATTTGTATATCAGCTGGCACATGGCTGTGGCTCTTTTGAAAAAATAGTCTATCTAACTTAAATGTCATTGTTTCTGTGTTTAAACAGCAGTTTGTAGGTGTGCTGGCTCCAGCAGCATGTTTTGTCAGAGTGGTAAACAAACAGAGATTATCACTCTTTAGAGAACTAAAGCATCAAAGTGACTTTGCGTATACAGTACATTAGGGAAGGAAGATGTATTGTTTTGTAAGCTTGCATTTGGGTAGTTTGAGAAAGGGAGGGATTAGAAAATGCAAACCATGCAGACATTGGCCAGCAATTTGTGGAAAGATTGCCACATGTTTTCTTTCTTCACTTTGACAGTCCTTGAACCATGGAAGATGCGGGAGAACTGGCCAACAGGGTCAGCTCTGGCTGCTAATATTTTGGTCTCTCAGCTGTTCATTCGACTATTCCAGACCAGTATGGTCTGGGAGCTGTCCGTCTACTATCTCATGCAAAATGTGTGTTTTTCCTCCTTCTTCCTGTCTTTTCTGCACAAATTGCTGCATAGATTAGCATGGTAAACTGTTTTTGATGGATGTCACTTTCTGTTTAAGTGTCAAGTGACATGTAAAAATGTTCACGTGATGTGAGGTGTTATTTATCGAGTTGTTCAATGTGTGCTCCGCTCTGACTGTCATGAAAAAAAATCAATGTATATCGATGGAAATAGCTGTTACATGCAGGGTGTGTAGTCTTTTCAGTAATCTGACTCTCCTCACACTACGTCCAATTTCTCTGTTCTTTTGGCTTCTTTGACATCCCAAGCAAACTGAGCTGTAGTTATAGTAAACTAATATACCAGACTAGTGTGACTGATGAAATCAAAGTGACATTAGTCACACATGTTAACAGCTGTCTGTCTTGAGTCTGATGTGACCATTGGCCTTTTAGGGTCATGATATTGCATGGCAACTATTGTGTGAGACAGGGAGGCTATAGCAGCTCAGAATACATCTATCTCAGAGATATGTTGTGTACTTGTTCGTTTTGTAAAACTTCTTTCACAACACTATTATGATAACAGTCCTTCCACATTAAACAAGTTCTGGAATTTGGTTTCTGGAGCAGTTAAAGTTCAGTGCCTTGATTAAAGTTACCTCAACAGCAACTTATTTCACAACAGTTGACTGTGTGCAAAGTTGAATGACTTTTAAATACATAATCACAAATTTTAATGGTTGTACATACTACAACTTCAGTTGATATAAAAATGCTTTAATAAAACTAAATGCTGTGTCTGCTTGTCTTGTACTACTTGCAATTTCCAGTTACCAGTGATCGTCTCTAACTCCTAGACAGCCTGCCCCCTGGACCTCTATCTGTTTGACACTGACCTTTAATTAGAGAGCTTAAGCCTCTGCTTTCAGCTGGCGTCAGATGCTACTATCAGAATCATGTGGGATGACTTTTGGGGACAAGGCCTTCTGTTGCCGTGTGAGTGGGTCTATTTAATGCCTCACTTGTTTTGTTTGAATAAGTTCCACTTCTGATAGATATGTACCAGTTACTCCTAACAGAGTTAGGAGACAGAGTTAACAGAGTTGTTAACAGTTACAGAAAAAATCTAATCAACTTTCTCAATATATCACTTTTTGCTACAAACTGGGTCAGTATGGACATTTTGTAGGAAAATATTAGTTTAAAAAAACATGTCCAAGTTTTAAAATCATGCATAATTTATAGTATATTGTTTAAAATGTGGTGCATTTTAATAGCCCTAGTAGTATTAATAAGCAGTTATCTTGCGTTTTATATATCCACATATATTGTTATAGTAATAAGCTACATATTTTGTAGCTTAGCGTTGCCTGTTTGTCAAAACCCGTCTACCAATCTGAGAGTTATTGCAAGTTTCCAATTCTGTGTTTTGAATGCGGAGGGCTACAATTTTGTTTAAGTGTGAGTCAAAGGTTAGTATATATGTACTAAACTGCATAAAATATTTAATTGACACTATTTATCAACTTCTTGCCACCCTAAATACCAAGACTTCAAATGTGTTTATGGTTGGACGTGCTGTGACACCCCCTGGACCTTTAAGAAACATGACTACTGACATAAATAGTCTTTAACAGTCAACACATTCTTATTCCTTTTGTAAATGTGTGTCTGTGCTTGTGCATGATCACGTGAGTTGTGTATTCTCTCAGTGCTCGCTCTATTTGTATTTTGGGAATGTGAGAATAAGTTAATTTCCAAAATTACTTTCTCACAAGAAGTTCACTCACACATTGTGGTTATTGTGCTTGATTAGCCAGTATCTCCAGTTTTTATGTGTATACATTTATGCCTTCATTAATAAATATATCACTACAGGATAACCATACATCACATGGTTTCCATGTGTAAGAATTAACCTTTTGTAATTTCTTTATTCACTGTATGAGTGTTATTTTTTTATGATGGACTCGTAAATCAGGGATTTGTGGAATTG